CTGCTTTTTACTTATACTTTTCACTACATTACTTGAGTACATCTATTTTTACAGTAATTCTTATATTAAGTACAAGCCATTTCAGATACTTTAAGACTTTTACTCAAGTAACATTTCAGTCAGTGACTTGGACTTTTACCAAAGTCATATTTTGGAGAGATACTTATACTTTTACTTGACTCCGAGATTTCAGTACTTTATACAACACTGGTCCTGGGCAATCAGTCAGCTGTTATGCATACTAAGTTTTCACAAAATGAGAAACCAAGGACACCGACATGTCAGCTGCAAGTGTAAAAATGGTTCAATCATCGGCAATTCTGTAATAAAATACATTATATTCACTGATGAATAAACTATCAGTCACTACATTTGCAGCTGGCATGTCGCTGGTTGAATTTGTTGTTTCGTTAAAAGAAAGAACAGTCAGTGTGCTCTATGTGAGATCAAGCTACTATTGAAATAACATCTGGCTATAATGCTTTTGTCATTACACAAAATGTGGAATGTTTGTGTTTGGGTCTGTCTGAATTTGTCAAATTCTAGTTTTGCTATTAACATTTTGATGTTTATGCAGGAGAGAAATGGAGACGGCGATGAAGGAACGGCAGATGTGGTCTGGAGATGTACATCATATCTTTCTTCCATCATTGTTTTCCAATCAGATGATTTTTATTCTTATTATCATTGTTATATTTTTACCTCTGCAACGGTGCAACCATGGCATTCACAGCTCGAGTGGATTTTATATGAAAACATAAAAAACAAAACAAAGAAAAATGCTGTATGACTACTTCAGGAAGACAGTGTATAGAACAGAAACCGAAAAAGGCATTAGCAGAGTGTGCCACAGTATGCTTCGTTAGCTAGAGAGAACAGCAGACATATGGCCTGTTGATTATTGAAAAGCCTCTTGTGAACAAAGCGCTGCTGTTTCCATGGAGCTTATTATAGAGGAGAGAACAGTTTTTGGTTACTGCAGGGGGTCATAACTAACATGATGTGATGTTATTAAGCATCACGTATGAACATAATGTAATCTATGTTCAAACTGCAGGAGGCTCCTTGGAAACTAAAACCTAGTGAATAGTGGTACATAATCACTGCCAAAAGGTTTTCATTTAGTCTTTTCTTCAGCCACTTTCTACTTCTACTTTACCTTGTTTAAAGTCTTAAGGGGGCTTTTAGAAACAACAATAAGCTGAGCACATATTTTGGTCTGTTTACTTAGGATAATATCAAAGTAAGAATATTTATTTTAAACCTTTCCTGAAATCTGATTGAATCTCTAATTTACCGCAGAGCTAAATGTTAGGCTAAGCCCCTTAAATACCAAGGTTTTTTGGCCTCCTTGATATAGCCCAGAGTTTGTTTTCGCTGATAGATTTTGTTTCAGTGGATGTCCATATGAATAAACATCTTTAAGTGAAATTAACTTAGGATACCATTACACCAATAGTGCTTATTCAGTTTAAGGAAAACCCTAATTTATTTACCCATTGGTGCAGAAAATGGTCAAAGTGTAAAGATGGAACACAATGGTCACACTAGGGTGGTCACAAACATCAAATTAAGCTAAAGGCGTCAAAAAGATATGACATATCAGACATATTTATTGTTATCTGATGTAGGAATTAACCTAGAGGGGTGAATGTGGTGTTATGTTAAAGAACTCCATAACCTATTAGTCCACTGGTCCAGAGTGGTCTGGTATCAGAGTCCAAAACATGGTGGAAGACTGTTAGATCTTGTGACAACACAGTGGTGCCAGTTTCTTTCATGGGTGCTTTTTGTATCTCTGCTTCTGTCTCCTTGAACCCCAGTCTGCCTCAGCAGATGGCCGCTCACACTGAGCCTGGTTCTGCTGGAAATTTTTTACTGGTACAAGGGGTTTTTTCCTCTCCACTGTCGCTACAAGCATGCTTAGTGGGAGGGATTGTATTTGAGTCAATGAGTCAATGCAATCAACTGGTTTTCCTTAGATAGAAAACTTTGAATCAGATCTAGAACCCCTCTTGTCTAGAAGTTACAGAGCGTTGCTTTAAAATACTGAAGGTTGTGTTATGCTTGATGCACGTACCATTATCGTGGAAAATAAGCTGTCCACTATGTCACAATGTCACAATGCCTGTAGCTTTGATGCACTGTGGGGCTTCCCTCCCCCCATTGTGGCCACCTCCAGTGGGCATATACAGCACAAACAGCAAGTATACAGCACCACCCTACATGAGGAGGTAGCAGACAGAGCTGTTTACAACTTTCTCAAAGACTCGTCATGCTGTCTAAGGCTATGTTCACACTGCAGGCCTTGATGCTCAATTCCGATTTTTTTGCGAAATCCGATTTTTTTACTTTGCCGTTCATATTTTCAAATATATGCGACTTGCATGTGATCTCCTGTGTGAACTGCAGTTATACAACGCAAGTGTCACGCATGCGCAGTAGAGGACACAATGACGTCACAGGCCAGCGTGCTCTTTTTTTTTTTTTCAGAAGTAAACATGGATGGTAGTGCCGGCACGCATCTGGCGGTCTTTTCCAACCAATAAAAAACACAATCTTTTCAAGATGGTTAAACATAAATACTGCTCTCTGCATCCTCAACTGCCATGGTTGTTGTTTATCTTGCCGCTTCTGCGTACTAAGACGCAGAACAGTGACCTTTGTCGAGTATTAATGACGTTCAGGTCGGATGAATCCGAACTGGCCGTTCAGACACAGGTCGCATTTTAAAAGATCAGATTCGTATCGGATTCATGGCCACATTGCCAAGTGACCTTGGTCAGATTGGAAAAAATCGGATCTGTGTTGTTAAGACAGCCTCGAAAAGATCAGATCCAGGTCACATATGGGCAAAAAAATCGGATTTGGGTCACTTCAGGCTGCTGTGTGAACATAGCCTAAGAGACAGTAACTTTTGTTGAAACTGGTGGTATTTGGGTTAAAATCACAGGATGTCTCTAGATTCTTACATTTGTGAACTAACGACAGTGGGAGCTGTTGCTCGCTCGCCTTGTTTTTCTGCAAGGATATGTCTATGTAAGAAACAAATTTTCCTAGGTACAGAAATTCTGTCCACACGGACACCGCACAGAGGGACATGGACGCATAAAATGCCGTAACTTGTCCACAAGGACCTCACAGTCAAGAATAAACTAAGCTTAACACAGACGGCGCTATGGTGTTCACTGCCATCCTGTTTTCGTCAGCTAAAGGGTTTTTTTTCCCCTTGAGGTCCAACCTTTTTATAACTGCATTAGACTGGACAAGTTTTGAGTCAAGTGAAAACTGCTGTAGAGAAAATACGGTTAAAGTTTGGGTGATTAATCAGAAAGTCCTAAATTGTACTTGTTATAAACATGAACGCAGGATCTATTTAGCTTGCTAAAAGGGAAATATATACTTTCTGACACCATTTTTACTCAGATAAGAAGGGGAAAATCCAAAACAAGTTCTTGCTCAGTTAACTCTGGAATATATGTGAATCCCACTACATTTTAATCTTGGGGCTGATCTTGCATTAATAAAACAAAAAGGAATCATTTTAGGATTTTGATCATACTTGCACAATTATGGATCTGTTATGTACCAGATTAAATACCTAATTATGTATAAAACAACAAGGATATTTTCAAATGAGTAATTCCAGTGCATGGAAATGTTAGACTTTAAACACTAGTTAATTGAGTGACCAAAAGTCAACAAATACAGGATAATTAGACCCAAGGGAAGTCATTAGCCTATACAACTGACTCATGCAACTGTTTTCTCTTTGCACTTTTATTTTAACCGGAAATCCTTTCCATCCATAACAGGCAATGTGTTTTATATGATCAATATTGTTTATTACATTTATTTACATATATTTACATGCTAATGAACTGGGTTTAGTGACTGAAAATAATTACACTTTTTATATTCAACAACAAGAGTTTGGATTGTTTACACTTAAGCTAATAGCAGTTAGAAACCTAAGACTTATTATATGATTGGGTTAAAATAGAATGAATGTGATTTCCATTGATGAGGTGTTATCTTTAATCAGGACCTGTCATTTAAATCCCATATCAAAGAGGTTTCTAGAATTTCATTTTTTCATCTGCAGAATATTGCAAAAAAATTTAAATATCCTGTCCAGGGATGATGCTGAGGAACTGGTCCATGCATTTTGCACTTCAAGGGTGGACTAATGTAATTCTTTGCTATCAGGAAGTCCACAAACTGTAGTTAAAAGCCTCCAGCTGATCCAAAATGCTGCAGCCAGAGTTCAGATGAAAATTAAAAAGAGAGATGATATCTCTACTATCTTAGCTTCTCTTCATTGGCTTCCTGTTAAATCCAGGAAGCCAAGGAAGTAGCTTCTCTGGAGAGAAATATCAGCTGTGTTGCTGTCATCAAAACCTTTGTTTATAGTTGTTGGAGATCAGCCCGTTTTCCAGTGTAGTCCTGTTTCTCTGACTGTGACTGGCTGGATGTGCTCTCCTCATCCTCTGACATGGGAGCTGGCTCGGAGCTCGTCTGCCTGGCTGTGTGTTTCCTGGACGGGGCCGCCTTTTACAGTTACTTTTTGTATCTCTGCTTCTGTCTCCTTGAACCCCAGTCGGCCTCAGCAGATGGCCGCTCACACTGAGCCTGGTTCTGCTGGAGGTTTCTTTCTGTTAAAAGGGAGTTTTTCCTCTCCACTGTCACTACAAGCAAGCTTAGCGTGAGGTATTGTATTCGAGTCAAGGAGTCGTTGCCATCAACTGGTTAGAAAATTTTGAATCAATTTGACTGGATGATCTGCTAAAGTGCCTTGAGATGACATGTTATGAATTGGCGCTATGTAAATAAACTGAATTGAACTGAATTGAATTTAACCCTTTATCCAATCTCCTGACCGATATATTTGTAAACTTAAAGCCTCTAAGTCAATTGTAACTATGGTTTTAGCTAGAAGAGGAAACTGATCAAATTTATTTCAAATGGTTATGGATGAAAATCAAACTTTAGTGTCTTACCTTAGGAAGAGTTCCAATTGAGAGTAGAGAAAACGTATCAAAGCCCTGCGAACTGTCACTTCTGCATGACAGTCATTGACCACCTGTCCTTGGTCGCTCAGGTACTCCCCGTTGATGCATTTGGTTCCTGTGGATAGCGCCACAACTTGGGCGTGCCTCAGGTCCAAATCTGTTGAACAAAAGGAGATGGATATTACACCTTCTGGCAAACAATTTGATGGGTTTCAGTCTGCAATTTGGACATAATTTTGTCATTTCAAAAGAGTAAACTCGTACATTACAAGTACATTCCTTGGATTTTGTGAAAATGAATCAAATGAACAAGGAATGGACAAATCTGATGTTTTTACAATGTGCACTTTGTAAATCTAAAAGCCCCTCCTTGTTATCTTTCACATCTGTACAAGAATGATATAGTTATGTCATTTTTGAAAGGATTCATTAGTAAAAGAATAACTTTTTTTCAGTCTCTTAACGTAGGCATGGATATATTCTAGTCATACAAGATATCTCATCTTGATGTTTCTCACACTGTATTTGATCCCTAAACTATCCCCGAGGAAAATATTACTGCTCAAAGCTTCCTCTTCTATAGCTCATGACACATTTCAATTCCGCAACTCAGCCTCATTTTAGCTTCTATTATGTCTGAGATGTTTCTAACATGTTTCTTCTGTAGTGAAAATTAAGAATGCATTTACTTTTTCTTTATTAGAGGCAAAATATTCAAATCTTCTTTTGCCTTAAAACCCTTTGTTATGGTCATATTTTATGTCTTACACATGAAACCCGTATATAAGGTGCTTCATTGATAATTGTGCTATGCAAAACAAAATCTGGAAAGAAGCCAAAATTTCTTTAAATTAGAGCCTTTACTCTTAATTTAAGTAGGCAAATACAAAGATTTACTAATGGAATGAGTATTTTTACTCTTAAAATAAGATAGGTAAATAATATTAATTTGAAATAAGATAATGCAATTGTTTTTTTTTTGTCTTGTTCCTTTGGAAAAAAATCTCACCTCCTCAATTCAACAAAAAATGCACTTATTTTAAGAAAAAAAAACTTATTCAGATTTCAATTTTTGCAGTGTGTAGTGACATTAACTCATTTATATAATATTTATATTTATAATCCATTTTTATCTTATTTTTAACTAAAGGGATCAGTATTTCTTGCAGAAACATAGTGGTATCATCAGTGAGCTGAGTTATTATCAAAGGATAACCAAATACTTTCAGTGGCTTAATAACTTGGCTATTCTTCAGAAAGAGAGTCAATAACTCTGCAGCTAAATAAATAAATAAGGAGAGCAGAGCCAACACTGTCGGATTTCCCTGTTGCACTTCAACTCTTGGTTGTTCATTCAGACAGATGGACTGAACCAATAATATCCTTATAGATCAAATCATTGACCTCTATAAACATTTTACCAAAGCCAAAAGTATTTAATTATCAATGGATGCTCTATGGAGTCAAAATATGTGTGGAAAAAAACAAAGCCTTAATCTTCAAGAAACAAATTATACTTATATTAAGTCAAAAACAAACCTAATATTGTTGCATATGGACCAGTCCTTAACGAATGCTGATTGGGTTTCACACAATCTTTCCCAAATCAGAGTTAAATGGATTTGAAAATAAAAATAAGGATGAATAATTTGTAATCTACATTCAACACAGTTAATGGCCTCAGATTGTGGATATATCTTTTATCTTTTCCAGGTTTGGGTGATAATGTAATGACTCATTGTTTCATAGTTTGCATTAAATCTTTTTTTTAATTATTTTAAGGCTTTGAATAATAATTCTGTTAAGTCTTCCCAGAAAAACTTAAGAAAATTGGAAGTCAAACCATCTTGACCAGGTGATTTACCTACTGACATTTGTTTTACTTTGTTTGTTTTAATACTTTCCAAAAAGGCTATTGAAACTGGGATGAGAGTAGACTAAGTTAATAAAGAGAGCTCTCTGATTTCTCTGCCTAGGATAACAAGGAGAGGAAAGAGTTGAAATAATCTGAGAATTATATTTGAGCTTGTTGAGATCTTTTCTGAACCTTGAAAGAAAAGTAAGTACAGCTTTAGTCATCTTATTGCTCCAGAATAAAAACTGAGACAGGATAAATATACCTTAGTCTCATTTTTATGTCACACATCTCTCATAGTTTTATAGGAGAAGTACATGAAACATTTTGGAGATCACAATTCAGATATTCCTTTCCTCTGGGATTCCTCCCTTTAAGATATTCAGTTTTTCTGCTCTTCTTTTTATGCAGACAACAATGCAATGAGACATAACCTACGTAAATATGGAAAGCTGTTTATCTTATTTTTTATTTTTTTTAACAGTGTCCTGTCTGGCAATGTGGCAATAAGAATAATTGTCTTGATGCCAAAAAGAGCCCAACAGATTTTTCTTTCACAGGTGGAGCAGTACGGCTATCGCAATGGTGTTACGCTTGATTTATGCATATAAATAGCTTTATTATAATTCATGCAGGGAGTATTACAGATTATATGGACACTGCAATGTAAGTAGAACAGAAAAGGAAAAACAGAAAAAAAATGAGAAGATGAAAGAAAGAAGAGATAAAAGGGAGATAACATACAGACCAGAACCAAGTAAGGCAACATCCCTGAATTGACGTCAATTCGGGGCTTCGTTTGAATTCGCCCATTTTATGGTGGAAGTTTGGAATTGTGAGATTTGCAGAGAAAGGAGGTGTCGATGGGGTTTCAACTTCTCTTTACGTCCATTTCACCCACTGAACTATTGTGATTCATCTATGACAATGTAAACTCGATTTTACATTCTATGACCCCTTTAAGGTTAGGCTTAAAACTTTCCTTTTTGATAAAGCTTATTGTTAGAGTAGCTCAGGTTATCCAGTGCTATCTCTATAGTCATGCTGCTATAGGGTTAGACTGCTAAAGGACATAGGGACCCCTATTTCATCATTCTGCTTTGTTCTATCTCTATTCTAACTTTATGCTCTCTCAGGTTTTTAACGTTAAAGTAGCTTCATCTGGTGTGTGTCCGTTCATTGCTCACCACTTAGGAAGAAGCTGAACATCCTTCAGTCCTTCTGATGAGCAGCTTTTTTCTTGGTAGATTAACAGCTATCAGTGATTTCTTGGTTTAATGTGTAAAAGATAAGTGATTTGGGTTTCCTGAAGAAAGCAAGCAGCATCTGCAGATTTTATATGAAAACACCAAAGAGGAGAAGACGGCTACGCTGCAATAGCAAATAAAAGATAAAACCTGAAACAAAGGCTTTGGGGAAATGAAAGATTAAACAGAAACCCTGTTTAACGTTTACACCTCCAACAAAATGACTTCTGTTCGGTTAGGTTTTAGGCCAGTGCAGACTTAAAAGACAGACAAGCAGATGGACAGAGGTTATGTAGAGGGGGGTTGAAGGGGTGACAGATCAGCAGGAGGCTGCATGGCCATTTCTTCCCCGGCTGCCACAAATGTATTCCATCTCCTCAGAAAGTCAGGCTTCACTAGCTTCTGGGAGACCTGCAGGCACCGCCGGACCAGCACATGAGCTTTTATCAGCCTTGGCCCAGATGGCACTATGGTGTTACAGTTCTGACACCACCACTGATGTAAAGGACCAAGAAGGAAAGGGGAGGAAAAAAACGGCTGAGTTAATAAATGTGCACATGAGAAGAGAAGAAGAAAGGAAAGATGTAGCAGGTTTAAATTTAACTCTAAAAACTAGAAAGAATTTTTAGGGGGCCTCAGTCCCACATATGGAGTTTGTGGTCCTCACTGCAGCTGTTTTGGCTTCGATTCCTGGTTATCCCACTTTCCTCTCTGCCCTTCAAGCTTCCAATTAACAAAGGTTTTTTAGTGCCAACATTTTTTCAAAATTGTATTTTGGTTAAATTTTCTTAATGCAACATGTAGAAAGATACATTTATTTCAACCAAGAGAGAGACTCACACAGAGAGATGTGCAATGAGAACGATATTATTAACATACATGAAAAAAGCTATTTGACACACAGGCCCCAGACTTTGATGAGATGTGATAAAGAGAGCTTGGATGAATAACTTAGGGGATTAACAGCATATTTCTCATTGGGAGAGGAACTGAGAGTGACTGTCTGTGTGGTGGAAGGTGGAATGGAGGTGGATGAAGTTCGTTTGGAGAGCAGAAGGACGGGGTGACCATCATCGATTGGCTGGAGCTTGAGAGAGGCGTGTCAGCAGGTGGACCAGGTGAACTTTAATGAATACTCTTCCTGGTTGAATCTTCGCTTAAGCATTATCATTGGGAATCTAGGATTATATATAGTCATTACCTCTGTGCAGCTCCCCCAAAGTTATGATGACTGCTTCTAATCAATCCTCTCTGTGCTGCTATTTCAGTCTTGCTCTGGTAGGTTTGCAATATGCTCTTTTTTCTCCATTTCCAAAGAGTTGCCTGATTAGTCCTATGCGAGACATTACAAGCTTGAGATACTCTTTTAGGATCTAAATGTTATGGTTCTCATTTGTTTTGACACTGAGTTTTCTGTTATCAGTTGTTTTGTTTTTATTTTCCATAATATTCTAGCATTCTTTAGTTACTCTCTGTTGCCCCCTTGTGATTGTTTTCTTTCCCCTTGGATTCCCTCTTGCCAGTTCCACCAACACCTGCTCCTCATTCAGCTCGTTAGTCCATCCTTTGTTTTGTTCTCCTTAAATACTCCACCTCTGCAGTTACTCAATGCTGTACTCATCTACTCAGCTCATCTCCCCGTGGCTCCTCAGGCTCGTTTTTCCCCTGATGTCTCCATGGTTTTTGTTTTTTTAAACTTTTTAGTTAGATTTCTGGATTTTTACCTCTGTTTCCTTGTTCTTCAATTAAACCTGTCAGAACAATCTTTGCTTCATTCGGCTCTGCATCTGGGTCCTTAAGCAACCTAACCACCCATTGTTGACAGAAAATAAAAACAAAACAACTGATAACAGAAAACTCAGAGTCACAACAAATGAGAACCATAATACTAACCCTTCTTAAAACTTATGTAAAACTTCATCAATAAGCTGTCTGTGTTATGATTTCTGGTGCTTATGGATCAAAACATATGACAAATGTGGATTTTAACTGCCTTTTAATAATACTATTTCATAAAAATTATGCCTCAAGTGGTATTTGGATTCATGCTTGCAG